TAGATATAGATATAGATATAGATATAGATATAGATATAGATATAGATATAGATATAGATATAGATATAGATATAGATGATATAGCTATAGATAGATAGATAGATATTGTAGGGCCATCTAGAAATGTCGGTTCCTGGAATTGCCAGCAAGTCTTAACTAATGCTGCCTTATGGAAGAGGCCAGTCTGGAAAAGCAAACAACTGTGGCAAGAAAATGAGGTCAAAACTCACTTAACAAATGTCTCACTTAGCAACAGAATTTTTTATGCTCCGTTGGGGTCGTAAGTCGAGGGCTACCTGTATAAGGTTTCATTATGCAGTATCTTCATCTTATCTTCTACTACATGCTGTGTCTTTTTCTCTTCCTTCCTTCCTGCAATTCTCTCTGGAACATTTCTTCACTGGCTGAAAGATGGCATTATTATTCTGCTAAAAAAAAACTGGATACCCTTTGAAGGGGCCCTTTACCTCTTCAACCCCGTTGCAAGGAACTGGACAAAAGCCAAAGAATTTTGTGAGACTGAAAAATCCACCTTGGTTTGTATTGAAAGTACTTTGGAAGAAGTAAGTATTTTGGAGGAATTTTTGATCTAGTAATTAAGGCACCTGGCTAAAAAGCCAGGGACAGTGAGTTGTAGTCTTGACTTAGCAATGAAAGCCAGCCTGGTGACTGACAATATGCCCCCTTCCATATTTGGGCATACCAAGTGCTTTGACATAACACTTAATTATTTCCTTGGCTCAGCTGAGTGGGGAGGAGAGCTTGTGGCTTAGAGGTTAATATAATTGCCTCATATGTAAAAACAGCCCAGGTTCGAATCCCAGCAAGGGTATGGCTACCTGATGAGAACTAAATAGCTTGAAATAGATTTATAGTAGTCTCCCTTCATTTATTTATCAGCAAAAATGCAACACAAAAATAGTTTTTCTGTCTGGAAGACTCGTGGAGTGGGGCTGAAAGGCAAAAGGGAAGCAGTATGCTCCCTCCTATATTTGGCATACCAGATGCTTTGCAAAACACACACACACACACACACACACACACACACACACACACACACATATA